ACCAGAGCCTTGCATCACCAGTGAGCTGAAGCTGAGCGCAAACTACGCGGTACCTATCGGGGCATTCCATAACCTCAAAGATAAACTCTAAGCCCTGAATCCATTCATCAAAAATGCGGGGATCTCCCTTCTTGAGAACTTTTCGGCGTGATAGTCGCGGAACTGAGCGACTACCATAGCCTGAGTAGGAGCCTGATGATCGGGTTCCCTACGTGGCGACATCTGAACATTGAGAAAGTTTAACATTACTGAATACGTGATAACATTACTGAATACTTGATAACATTCTGACTGATTATTAAGGCACACAAATCTCTTGACGAGTAGCCAAAAGTGGCCCATAGATACTGACGTGAAACCTGAAGAACTCTAGAATCATATAGGAAGATCTTAATGTCTAGAGTCATATCTGAATGCCCTGAATTCTAGAGTCATGTCCGAATTCTAAAGTCTAAACTTGATTCGAGCATCTTATCTAGAGTCCTGATCCTTAATTCTGAGCATAGACAAAGTAATATGTTTATAACTGAAAAACTGAATCAGCACTTACCTGTCGTCGGCGGGGCGTGAGCATGACGGTTCAGGTTTTTCTGAAAAATACTGAAAAACTTGTCAGATACGCAGAAACGTGCTCTGATACCAATTGTAACACCCCTCTTTATCGTAAATCAGAGTGCGCAAAAATTTGCAAAGTTATTTAAAAATAAAAACATTTTTACTTTGCGAAAACTGATTAGGGGTGCTACCTTAAAATCGTGACTTACTTGAAAAATCGTATTTTAATTTTTAATAAAATCGTCCGCTTACTGAAAACATAAATTTCTCAAAAGTTCGTCAAAAGATAAGTTCGTCAAAATAAGAGTACGTCAAAAGTCATCAAAACATCGTTATAAGTCAACAAAACATCATTAGCGGAAGCGTAAGTCATCATCATAATTATACAGTCAAAAACATAAATGTCCTGAAGCCTCCGTCAGCTCATGCTCCCGGCCCGATGTCCTGACCGGAAAAACATGATAAAAGTGGGAAGTGAGCACTATGGCACTGTGCTCCGTGGAAACTCATACTAATGTAAAACATCGAAAATAATAACAACATCATGATATCAGTATATACATAACCTCAACCTCAAGCCGGTAATAACATGAACATGAATCTGAAATCGTCACGCAACCGTGACTCTGAAATCGTCACGCAACCGTGACCCTGACCGTTACCTCATCTACCGGCAAAGCCGGACACCATGTGCACACTCTAGTGGGCAGACTAGGGCCACTAGAACCCAGAATGGACCGACGACCATTCCGAGCGGATACTGATAATACATACCTCAAACATGGTAGCGTAATTATAATCAATGTAGTACTTAGTCTGAATCCCCACCTGATCTGCTGAACTGAATGGTAGTGCTGATGCCTGATCAAACTGAAAACAATATAAACAATTACTATTGACTATGCTCAGACTGTTAACTTAACTGATAAATTTCGTTAAGATGCTCTACTGAACTTAACATGATATTTAGGCTTATCCAGAATAACCGGAACTGAACTGATTGGACATGAATTTACTGAACTGAAATAATCCCGGAAATTTAACTGAAAATATTCATTAAATCATAAATCGGGCTGAACACTTAATCACATGAACCGAACCGGATTAAAAATGAGGCTGAACTGGTCCAGCCGGTCTGAACCGGTCTGGACCGGACTACGGTTCGACCGAACCGGCAGTCGGCTGGGCTCGGCCAGCAGCCTGCCGCGTTGATGAAGATCGCGTGTCCCGGATATAAGATTGCCTTGAATTTGCGCTCGAACGGCTCCTTCTCGGCGTGGTGCGGACGATTCGGAGGTTAAACTCCTTGTCTTCTCGCGATAGGTGAGACAGCTCGGATGTGAATCC